CGAGCCCTGTGGTTGGGGGGGTGCTACCGGGGGGGGGGGTCCATGCTCAGCGGGGAGTCTGCTTGGGATTCTCTCTCTCCCTCTGCTCCTCCACCACCCCTCCCTCCCTCTCTCTCTCTCTCTCATAAATAAAATTTAAAAAAAGTAAATAAATGGGGATTATATAGTCCACCAGAAAAGAATACCAAAATAAGTTCACTAGGTTAAGGACAAAACTGGCTAATACCTACATGGTCTTAAGACCATAACCTTTGTGGTGTTTTTTTCTACTAGACAGAAATTGTTTCTATATATACTGGACAATACTGTGTAAGTTAGTATGTAATTTCTGATCCACAATTAATAATAAATAGAAGTCAAACAAAGGTATATCCCTCCAGGTAATTAAATAATCCTTGGATTGGCCTGTTAGACAATGCTCCAGGATGACAGCTCCAAGTTTTGGTCAGTTGTCATGAAGCGAGTGCTATGGACTCTTAGGTTCACCTGAATGAGATTATGTCTAACAGGAGTCTCAGAGCCCTACCCTAGGGGGATAGTGTTGGGGCGGTGGGGCGGGGGTGGGGGCTGCCTAACAACCTTTAGCCTGGAGAAGACTTAGTATGGGGACCCAGATGCTCACCTCGGCATTATTCTTAAGTTGTAGGTTTGAGGCAATAGTTGAAGAGTGCAGAGATTTTATTTATACCACTCAAAAGCAGCAGTTAAAGGCCATTACAAGGCAGGAGGGGTGAGACGTGCCCTAAGTTGCTCCAAGGGGAAGGCAGGGCAACAGTGGAGATGGTTTGGGATCATTTATAAGAGAGCTTCCTTATTGTGAAAGAGCTTCATCGAGGCCACTGTGTGCCTTCAGAACAAGAACATTGCCTCACTGTGAGTTCTCTGGCCAAAGCACAGCCCTCATAGCCTCACCTCACTGGTGAGCAAGTGAGGGATATAGAGGGGGTCGCACTTCAGATGAGTTTCTGTCATTCTGTAAAAATTAAGTGATTGCCTTTTAATTAAAAAATAAAAAGCACCTTTTCCAAGACTTAACATTCAACATCCTGGAGACAGACGCCTAAGAACTCAGTTTTGGTTTCTGTGTGATCACAATAGTTGTTGCAACAAAACCTTTTGACAACATTTTCTCTTTTAAAAAAATGATAATTCACTTAAGTTTTGCCTTTTTAACTAATATTTCTGCTGAGAGAGGTGTATTTACAGTTTTGTTGTTGTTTTTGTTGTTATTTAGGTGTGTGTTTGGTGTTTTTTTTTTTGGCTTGTATTGTGACTAAATCTCAGTGTCTGAGATTTGACACTTTTTTTTTTCCTTCCCACTAAAGCCATTGAAATATATTCACCCAGTAATTCACATCAGAGGTGTAAATGGATTTTATGAGGGTTTTTTTAAGCGCCAATCAAAGCCAGTCACTTTGTGACTTGACTTCTTCAGGTGTTGGATTCAGAAAGCTTAACACTCCATCCCAATTGCAAGGATGCTAAAACTATGTCTTGACCTTGAATCTGCAAGCAGAGGGGTAACGTCTTTTGCTAGAAGTGCTCATCCACCACCTCTTTGGTTTTATCCAGTTGCATAGGACTTACTGGGGAAAGAGAAAAAAGACGATCAAATTGAGCCTACTATATACCCTAGAGAAAAGAACATGTTTATTTGACTTCCCAGCTCCCAGTGATTGTTGCTGTTACAGTTTACATTTTCAGCTCACCCTTTTTACCATTGATATTTGTAAAAACCTGACTTTAAAAAATGTATCAACCGTGTCAGACAAAGGCTGATTTCTCAATTTGTTTCATGTCATCAAAAAGACATACTGAGTTTGAAGCTCCTCTCAGGTTTACTCTTAAAATATAACCCTGAGGAAATAGGGTAAGACTGCCAAGATTTTATTTACACCATTCAGGCTCATAGGCTGTGGAGTCAGGGAGATAGAGCTTGAATTCCTGGCATTGCCTCTTCCTACTTCACTCGATATCTCTGAGACTCAGTTTCCTTCTATAGGAGATTGGGATAATAATAGTACCTACCCCATAGGGTTGTTGTGAGAGTTCCATAAGATAACATTCATGAAGTCCTTAGTACATCATTGATGTGAGATAAGCGCCCCATAAATGTTGGCTATTAGTATTTTGATAATTATTATAATGACTCCACTAAAACTTACGGTGTTCTTGTCACGATTAACGGCATTGTGACTGACTCACTTCCTAATAAAATTGAAAAACAGATTTCAGCACTGCATAACAATTCATTCTTAATTAATGAAATTGAATCAGCATTTTTGAGACAATAATGAGGAATCTTAAATCCAGAATTAGAAAACACATCCTATTTGCCAGGAAATTTTTAATATTTTAGGAACAAATACCGTAAGTCTTTGGAAGAACTGCAAAGAAGCTATTGTGTGTTGGGAACTATACACCTGAAATATTCAGGCAGGAAAACCTGCAGATAATAGTGCTCTGCCTTCCAAAGTAAAGTCATCTTTAAGAATTGGTGATCACCTTGAGAGCAAGACCATACAGCAACTAATCACTCAACATATGTCCTAAGGAGAACTCCGTAGAAAACCGTACTGGTTGCTGAAACCTGCCACCCAGGACCAGTGGTGCAGTGGAGTCAGTTCTGGATTTGGGGCTGAGCAAAAAAGCAGGCTCAAATCCGGGTTTTGCCTTTGCCGTTTATTTGCTGTATGACTTTGGGCTGTTTGCTTGGCTTTTCTAAACCCTGGTTTCCTCGTCTATAAAATGGGCCTATGATGTAACCTACCTCCTTCAGTAGGGGAGGGCCAAATTTTAAAACGTGCTGTGTGAAAGTGCTGAAGCAAAATACCATTAATAGTCCTGGTATTATTACTAATACTTTTAGTATTCCTCTGTGGCAAAGGAAAATTAGTGGTCACCAGGAAGAATGTGGGTCCCCATGTACTTACAAGACACCAGTGTGGCTTTACCTCCTCTAATATAAGACAAATGTCCTCTGAGTGTTGACAGTGCTCAACCTTTGTCCTAGTTGACAATTCTAATCCTATCACAGATACCATACCTTGTTTCTCATAAGTGTTATCAGTGCTGTTGGTGTTTCATAATTCACATTAACATAAGTTTCTATTTTCTTTTATCTGGATATGGGTGAATTGACAGATAACAAAGGTAAAACTGGTTAGCTTATAAGCTAAGTCCAATTTTTTCTCCATATATGAAATTATTTACCACTTCACTGTACCTTTACTTGACGTTCTTCAGTAGTTTGCCATTGTTGATACGATCAACTTCAGGATCCCTCTTCTGGCCACGAGGTCCTTGGTGACCTGGTCTCTGATGCCTCCATTTCATACCTTCATCTCACCCTTCTCAACTTTGTATAGCTCTATGAATTCCCTTCCCTCTTCCTGGAATATCCTTGTTTTCCTTTCTGCCATATCAGTTTCCATTAATTCTTCTAATTAATGAAACAGTGCCTGGCATATAAGTGAACATTGAATAAATGTTTAAGCAAATTGACTTGAAATCAGAAGGCTCCCACACAGACTGAAACAGCCAGATATTTTAATTTCCACATGGCCTTGGAAAGTTTGGAATTCCTCCTAAAGTCTGAATATATTCCATATCATTGAAGGACAGTAGCTCTTAAATATTACTTTGGCATTTTGCACATTTAGCTCTCCTAAATGTGCTGATGAGAACCTGTTTCATAGACACCAATGGAGTTGATAAGCCACAATACATATTTTAATAAACAGATTAAAAATAAAGCACTTAAAGTGTTGTATTCATTATTACCAGCTGCAAAAGTTTGCACAATAAAGAAGCATTTATTCTATTATTTAACAATAAAACAAGCCAATGTGTGAATCTTCACTTGTGGTATATTGCCTCAGAAAGTCATAGTAGCAGTGTTCAGATAAGGTAGCCAGTCCCTCTTGGGCCATATCCAAAAGAATTTAGTTATTGTAATGATGAAAGGATTTCATATAAATACCAAAAGGACTTTTTTCCAAATGTAATGAAGTGGTCCCAGACCTTAGATCCTGTATAGTTTCTGTCTGTCTCTCTCACACACAATACACGTGCATGTGTGTGTACACACACACATACACACACACATACATATACACACACTCTTTGGAATTTTAAAGTTCCAAGTAGAATTCATTAGTAACAATATGATATGCTTTTTCTTACATAGATCATAATGAAGTGTTGAGCGATAAAGGAAGAACTAAGAGAAATGAATAATCATCTGCAGCTCTAAAACTGAAACCTGTCATGTTAACTCCCAACTCAAACACCTAGTTTTAAAGATTTACCTTCAAGAAACCTAAAAGCTTGTATCCTGCCTCATTGACAACAGCCTCAAACAGTTTCCTGTCATTGCAGAAAACAAATCTTTTGCTCCTTTCTGCCTAGGGGAGGCAGAGGGACTGAGGTGGTCCTATGTGGCTGAATTAGATGAAAGACTTGCCTTCCACCATGGAGACATGGAGTCTAATCAAGTGAAATGAGTTTTGAGATCCCAGCTCATTTCCTAGGGGAGATCGGTTCACATTACAAAATCACGACATCTCATTCATCACAGCTGACGTGGTCTTTGCTCAGGAGAGGACTCCAACTGGGACTGAACCACCTGTCTTCTCTTGAAAGGGGGCACTTTATCCAAGTTAGAGTTGAAAGCCTTGGAGTGAGAAGGCTTGCCAGCTTCACCCGAGTGATACATATGCAACATGGAAGGCAACTTCCATTTTAAAAAGGGCAGACGAGTTTAAGGAAGGTTGGTGGTTGTACTTTTAATGGTACCAAATACAAATAATTGTCATAGAGATGCTAAGGCTTTATGGTAGGGAGAGCCAAGAGGGGGGCTCCCTCATCTTTATCACCTCGATTTTATTAAATGGAGGTGAGAAGGATCAACATTTCCATGCATCAGAGTTTAAAATGGCAAAGGAAGTGTCCTGCTTTCCAGGCTGATAAATGATCATCATCTCTTTTATTTCTTTCAGGGCATCATTATAACACCCATGCTACTGCTGCTTTTTGTGAGTATTTTGATGTTGTCTTTAATTCTTTTATTAAAAGTCATCTACAACCCTTTAAGAAAGGGCATTAGGATAAAATGGAAATTTGAATCCTTTTGCACCACTTTGCGTCATATTTTGAACTGTTCTTCCAGTTGAACTGTGACTGAATAATAACAAGTCGACACAAAGGATCTCTGTGGCCTCATGATCCAAGGACGGCATCAGAGCCCAGTTATTAGGCCTCTGACTCCAGGGCTAAATCATTAATTATTGCAAATTAATGACTTGTGGCATAGGTCACAGATATATGCTCTTTCTTTCCTCATTAGTAGAACCAAAGTGAATGCTAGTGACCCAGTGTTTGCTAGAAAGAGCCTTGGACCAGGGGACCAGAGAAAAGTTTAGTTCCAAGGCTTATAGTACCTGGCTTTCTCACTCTGGAGAATGCTGCCTGAATTTTTCCATCTGTAGAATGGGGAACAATAACACCTACCCAGGCTGTCTGCCAGGGATAATGAAATGTGCTTCAGAAATAAAAATTACCAGCCACTAGTTAACTAAACAAAAATTGTTCTGAAAAGAAGAACTGCTAATTAACGGTCTTATTTCTTTTGGCGCTAAGCGTATGAGAAATTAGATGAAAGATTAAAATAGAAATTAATGTTATCTCATGCTGAGAAAAGCATATGTAATCATGAACGATACCTAAAATATTTTATGAACTGTGCATTTTTCATACACAACATTTCCCAAATATAAATCACTCCACTCATCACTGAAATGGAGTTGGGGATCGTTTCTGGGCGAGAAATGTAGCTGTTTGACTAGCACTATTTGTCAGTGAATTAAAACTATGGGGAAAATTTATTTAATTATAGTGTAATTACCCAAGTTGGAATTCAATTAGAGTAATAGTGTGAGGGACTTCATTTCTTACAAGCTGTGCAGGAAGTGGAGAGGGAGAGATGCCCTCCTAAACAGTTGGATTCTGCATCTTTCATGAAAGACATTACCATCAAGTAATAACCCTCAGCTTCCCCATCCCTTCTGAAATGTTGGCTTCATGCTGACAAGGTTAAGAAGAGTCAAATCATCAGATCACTTCACTCAGCATAACAAACCTCATTAATTTGGATTCTACCAATTCAGAATTCGCAGTGAGTCACATTAATACTGAAGTGAATATTGATTTGCATTCATTTGGAAGAAAAGTCTTGGTGTGTGCCCAACTGCTCATTAGATGTGAGGAACTGAGATCACCGCCCGGCGTTCTTTCCGAGACCTTGGGTCACGATTTCTGAGGGGCAACCCTCAAAAGGCACAGGATGCAGGCCAGTCTGAGGACCCCTCAGAAGACTTGTGGGAAAGCACAGTACATGGTTATGTAGTGCAGGTTTTCTCCACTGCAGAAGACTGGCATCTCTTTCTCGTGTGACTCTTTTAAGACGAGCTGGGGAGAAGGCCCAGCCACAACCATGGGGCTGAGACCTAGGATAGCACTTTGGAGTATCTCAGAGTCTGGAATCTCTCGGGCCCTGTTTCAGCTCATGACTACAGAGCTAGATGAGTTCTTTTCTCCTTCTCCTGCCCATTTCCAGCCATAACAAGAAATGTTCTCAGCTCGTTAACATGATGACATCACACTGTTGCAAGCTTTCCCCTACTCTTAGACCCAGAGGCTGGTGAGCTTTAGTTGGTTCAATATTTTATTTTATTTTTTTTAAGATTTTATTTATTTATTCATGAGAGACAGGGAGAGAGAGAGAGGCAGAGGCAGAGGGAGAAGCAGGCTCCC